GGCGGGCTCGGGAGCGGCGCCCTCCGACCGAGACTCGGAGCCGTCGGCGGACGACATCAGCGACATGTTCCGCTTCCTGGACCAGATGAGCGTGTGCGAGTCGCCGGGCGCGGCGGCGTCGTCCTGCTACGACAGCGCCGGCTCTCTCGGGTCGGTGGCGCGCTCCACTTTGCCGCCGGCGCACACGCATGCGCTCGAGGGCCGTCCCGCCGTCTGGGGGGTTTGGCTGCGGCTTCGGCTTCGTTTCCCGGTCCGCCTTCGGCAAAGGCTTGCGAGCGGTCGTTTCGGCCGGGGCTCCCTGACCATTTGGTGGCGGGCCCCGCGCGGAGACGCAGACAGACCTGCGAGCCGCCAGCGTCGTGAGTGACTCCGTCGGACGCGGCGTGGCAAATGTGCGCCACGCCGGCCGATCCGAGTCCCCCTTCGAACGTCGGTTGGCAAGTTGGAATCGACAGAATCCGCCGATCAATGAAAGAAGAAGCAATCGACAGAAAGGAAGAGTCCCAAATTGAGCAGAGCCGCAGGGGAAACGCGCAGCCGTGCCGTGCCACGACGTCGCGACTTCCAAACATGAGGCCATTGGGACAAGAGCCCAAAGCGACGTCGAGGGGGAAGCCGTTGCGCTTGCTCATGTCGTCAAAAAACAAGAAACCCGTCGGATCAGTTCAACAAGTGACCAAAGCGTGAAAATGGCGTGAAAATCGCTCGCGTCCCGTTTGCAGGTCGCACTGATGCGGATTTTGAAAGGGTTCTGTTGACGTTCGAAGGCCTTTTGATGATTCTCGATTGCTCCGTCTCTCAATCGTCAGTTGATTTGTTTCTGCATTGGTGGTGCAGTAGAACGACTCGGTTTTGAATGAAAAAAAAAATCGACGTTCACGAACTGTTGAATGACTCGAATTCTCTTTGTTGTCAGTAGCAGTGCTTCAAAACTGCTCATTTTAAAACCAATGAAAAAAAAAAATGCTTGCCGGTTCGCGAACGGCACGCACGCGGATCCACGTCGGGGACGCATTCGTGGCGACCTGCTGGGGAGACGACTGCCCGACGTCCGTGAATCGGAGGAACAGTTGTCATCTTAACGCCCGACTTGAATCAAAGCCACTTGAAATCGCGGTCTCGAGGTGGCGATGTGTCGTCATCTCGGGTCGAACGAGGAGCGCGGCATCACGTCCTCAAACCGTTCCCGGCCCGCGCGGCGGCACGTCCGTTTTCAAGCTG